TGGGGGCTGTGCTAAGCCAGGAGTCAGAAGACGGAGGAGACAAACCAGTGGCCTACTTCAGTAGGAAGCTACTGCCGAGGGAAGAAAATACTCAACCATCGAAAAGGAGTGTCTAGCCATCCGCCTTGCTATACTTGCGTTCCGGGTCTACCTGATGGGGAAAGCATTCACAATACAGACAGATCATCGTTCTCTCGAATGGCTTGACAGGATGAAAGAAAACAACGCACGCCTCACCCGATGGTGTTTGCTCCTACAGCCCTACCAATACACAGTGGAACACAGGCCAGGAGTAAAGAATGGGAATGCGGACACTCTGTCAAGATTGGCATACCTGGCCTCGACGTGAATGTCGCAGGAACAGGGGGAAGGAATGTGGTGGATCGGGCTCCTTGTAAACACGTAACACGTAGCAGATGTGTGACTATTCTCATTGTGCTCATGGTGTCAGTCGGTCTATGTATCCCTGTACAATTAACTATTGTAGTCACTGTTATCGTGTATGGTCATGTAGTCCTTGTCTACTGGTCACAGACCCTAGTCTGTATAAAAGCTCCATCTGTCATTCTGTTAGGGCCGGTCTTCATCATTATATGTCTATGACCATATGTACTCTTCGGCAACCTGCGAATATTCCTTGGAATATATCATTGGATGAAGATTATTAGCTAAGGAGCCAAAGAAAGTCTGACAACTGTATTAAAGTGTTTTCTAGTCTCTTTACTTTCCCAACTGTAGTGAAGTGTTGTGGATATCCTCGCACTAAAGTAATGCATCGCACCAAAGTAATGCATAATCGTTAATTGGATTATTATCGATTCCTTTAGTAAGGGCAGTTGTATGAAAAGATTAAGGATCCACAGCCATCTGTAATGGATGTTAGTTGATAAAAGGATTCCTGTATTATAAGATAGTGAAGAGTGAAAGAGAGGTAGAGCACGCGCATGCGTGAGGCACGCTGCATAGTGACGGTAGTCGGCAACGGGTTAAACACCTTTTGCGTGGTCCTTAGTGCGTTTTTGCTTTAGTATAATACCTGCCACTACACCCTGCACCCACTCTTCACTGACCAACTAGGAACACCACCAGCATACCTGTGGGACCTCCACAAACTTCAACATACAGCAATACAGGACATTAGGGACAGGAATTCATTATCACCATGATGTGAAAATCTTGAACTCAGTCAGAGTATCAAATTTAGATGCAATTATGGGCTAGCAAGAGTTTTACAGAGAAACACCCAATGACTTACTGGTGACCAGATCAAATGCTGGCACTTGGAGCGAGAAGTGATGTAAAGTCAATAAAAGTGTCCCAACCAGCAGGGGTAGGGTAAAGCGGATGGGAGTCCCATCCTGACTGGTCCAGGCAAGTCCACAGCCTGTCAACCGCTGTTCTCTCTTTGCCTCTGCAGACATGCAGGAGAATCAGATAAACTACTATCAAGATGTGTGACATGTACAAGTCAAATGCACAATGTGTAACCTGCGCACGCAACGAAACCGATTCTGTAACCCATTCCCGCATTCTTCACCTTGCTTTGACAAAGTGCAAACCCTCGACGAACTACGCATGCCCAATACTGCTAATTGATGGGCTGGGCTATTTTTACTCCTGGTCTCCAGCTAATATATAGCTCGCGGAGAGTATGAAACGGGCTAGCTACAGTAGTTGATAGCATGCGGGAGTCGATACATGCCATTCGTTGTGACTTCTTGAGCCCCAAGGTACACAGAGCGAGCAGATAAGGTCGCGGTAAGCCCAGTGCGATTATGCATAATGCTTGTTTTCACGGCATATAATATCTCTCGAACGCAGTCGTTTCAGGAAATTCGCCCTTTTGTTTTTCAGGCTCGCGTAGTTCTGAAGCCGTTGGTATCGCTAATGGGCCGCCTCGTAGCCTGTGGTGCCAGAATAAGCGTCGACACACAGACAGACAGACAGACAGACAGACAGAACGACTACCGTAACCCTCGCTGCGCATACGCGCCGAGGGTTAATGATACAGATAGAGAAATACTAGTAGATCGTCATGCCAAAAACTGGGTGTTGGAAATTCCTTTCAATAACATGCACAAAGACGATCAAAATGAGGGCTACACTCGGTAGAAATCTACTTGCTACTGTAGCGAGAGTGGGACTATTTGTAGGGCAATACACAGAGAGAATGACTCTCAAAATGTCACATCATTGAATCCGACCACTTGGGCCATCTGCTCTATTAATATGTGTGTACTCTGGACATGCCAGCTCTGTGTACTAGTGAACACACCCAATAGTCTCTGATCCCCGATGTCACGTTGGAGTATTAAACTGTACTACACTGTGGAGCTCTATGCACCGAGACACTGTGGAAGTTTTGGCAATTGGGTTGTTGCTAAATCAATTACGGTTGGCCTCAGAATGCCTGTAGCCATTATTGCCATGTTCCAGATTTCTTGGGTAGGTAGACATTCTCATACTTTTCTTGGCCTTCTTTGTGATCAAATGAAAGCCTACTTCCATTGTGCTAAAGCTGCCAAGACTCAGAATGATTCCAATACCTCTTATTAATCAACAAATACTACACACAGACTGGAAAATGTACAGCACAGAGAGATGAGTAAATGTAAATGTATCCTCCTAACGTGGTGGTCAAGAAAGAAATTGCTGAAAGCAATCTCAGGGTTTACTCGCGCTCCTCGCCAATTTGTAGAAACTGCTCTTCGAGGTGTGTTGAACTGTCAACAACCTACACAGGCACCACCACAGTCACAGCAACATTTGGCAGCTCATGTGTTTCATGTAAAATAATATGCTATGCTACTAAAATAGTACAGATCAAATATTATTGGTGAGCGAAAGCAGTCTGAGCATGCAATTTTTATGTGTCCAATGAGGAGGACACTTTTGTATGCATTGTTTTACGTACAACTGCTTAAATTTCGCAATCACGTTTACTTGCCAATAATGTGTTGCATTCGTGCCAGTATGTGAGAAAGATGTGGATGAAATATGAGGTCTACTAAGCAACAAGAACCAATGCCCAGAAATTCATCCACTGACCACAAGTAGCCACTAGCCCACCACTGAACACCTTCAACAGTGCTTGGTGGGTTTAGTTTTGGCACCTCAATGCACAGCCATCTGCTCTTTACATGGAAAAGGTTTCTACTAGCGCTTGAGTTGTGTGATCAGGTAAACTTATCAGTGGAAATCCGTACGCCTCCGCAATTAATGATATTCATAGGCCTCAATTGCAATGTGGACGAAGTGACCGGGATGCGACTCATTCCAACAGTCAAAGCAGCTCTAGCCATAATACATTCGCACAAGGACTTGGCATAGGACATACAGTTCATCGGACTATAGCATACACTCTAATACCCTTCAACTGCAAACCGAGCACTGCAGAACACATCTGCACTTCTGCAACACGCGCAGAATTGTTCTTCGCTAGGAAACGCGTATAAGGATTACTGTGCACAACACTGGTACATTTACACTCACCTTTCCGCCCTGCAATCCCTTGAGCGAGAACCAGGAAAAAACGCAGCTACACTAGCAGACTTTTACTGGCGATGCCTTGACTAAGCGCACACATCATGCGATGTCTCCGCCCACACGCGCGAAATAATTATAATACGCTTGAGTTGATCACGTGATGCGTAATTACCGCGCTCCTCCGAAAGCTGCCGACGACCGTGCCAGGGTTTGTTTGGACCTTCGTATTCTTTAGAACTCCAATACCTGAATACAGCAAAATGGAGAAAACGCCTCTGTTCTTGGCTCTGAGTCCGAATAAAACAATGAGCCCCTCCCTCTTTCTAGAGGCGCGCATTGATTGTGGGGCAGATGCGCGCGCGTCCCTGCCGCGTGCGTGTGCGTCGTGAAGTGTGGCACAAACAAGAATCACTTACCTGCTTTAGTAGTATAATACAAGAAAGAAACATTGATGGACGTGTCTACCTGTTTAGGTGAAACTCTAATGGTAACGCCGCCGTTGTCCTCTTCCGCCCTTTACTACTGACTGGCTACTTTGTCCACCACTGACGCAGCTACAATGGCCGGGGCCCATGAAGAACGACTTCATCAAGGGGGAGAAAATTGGATGGAGTGTGCCTTTGACATGGCCCAGCATGCACTGGAGTGTGGAGAGGTTCCAGTGGGATGCGTGGTAGTGCACGGTGGAGAAATCATTGCCAGAGGGTGCAATGAAGTCAACAAGACTCTCAATGCCACAAGACATGCGGAGATGGTTGCAATAGATGAATTGGTGGATTATTCAAAAGAGCAAAAAGACTCTTTGACTAGCATATGCAGTCGTTCGACTATCTACGTGACTGTGGAGCCCTGTGTCATGTGTGCATATGCTCTGAGACTTGTTGGACTATGCAGGGTGGTGTATGGGTGTAGTAATGAACGATTTGGTGGCTGTGGAAGTGTGCTGGATGCCCACTCCAGAGAACTGAAATATAGCTGCTCTGCTGTCTATGGAACTAATATCTTACCTGCTCTTCAGTGCTCTGCTGGAGTTATGAAAGAGAGAGCTGTAAGCACCCTGCAAAAATTCTATGAAGGAGAAAATCCAACTGCTCCAAAACCCAAGTCCAAGAAAAAAAGGTATCCAAAAAACAGAACAGCTTAGCTAGCTAGATATAATATATGTTGGTATATGCTAGCATTATTACGTGTCTATTCTTTTTTAAAAACTGCGTTTGCTTTTCGCAAATAGCTGCTACAGCTGCGACTTCGCTTGATATCCAGGCTTGTGTTGTGTACTGCGCCATTCCAGCGGTCATAATTTTGATGTGGTGGAGAGACTCTGCCTACACACGGAACGTCGCTTTCCCGTTCAACAGCAGGGAAAGCCTAGATTTCCGCAAAAGCTGGTGTGTGGGGGTGGCGGGGGGCGGAGCTGCTATTCTAATCGCGCACGTGGCGAAAATAATTTACCCGCCCACCATGCATGCACGCCGTCGCTAGCGCGCTACTGTATATACGCTGTGTGGCCTTTGCACGATTGGTGTGCAGAGACTGCCACAGCCTTTCCTCAGGGAGTGCTCTAATGCAGTAAAGGAAGAGCGCGTTGAATACTTGGTGAGTTGAGTACATGCTATATAACACGGCAGCAGTCCGTGAACGAATGTTTTAGCTAACTAGGTGGCTAGCTATTTGCATCTTACCCTGACGCATTTTCGTAGCTCGCTGCAAACCCCTGTTCGAACGTTCTAGGTTCGAGGCGAAATCGAGGAAATATCCACTGGGCTTAGATCGGTAATAGTATTTGAGTATATTTTACAA